GACTTCATCATAAGATGGTTTTTTTGGGTGAAAAAAGAAAAATGAGAAATAATTTACACCGTTTACAAATAGGGGGCATATAAGCATGGGTAAAGATAGATTGTGAAAAAATCCATTTACATTTCACAAGATATGGAACAATTACTGATACCAAACTCATTACCCTTTCTTTCTTCCACAACTCTATCAAATCTCAACTTCTGTCTCAATACCATGTATTAGTTACTCAGCTAGTTGCTTACCATTATCATGAAACTTCAGACCAAACCCAAGAACAAACAGGAAATAGTAAAGGCACATACCAAGCCAAAAACTCTACAGTAGTTGTACACGATTGACAATCCTAACTCAAAGCATGCACTTTATGGTTCAAAGAAAAAGTTTTCTAGAATACAATTATAGAAACTGAAATCTTAGTTCTTTATTCTAAGATGTGAAAGGGGCACTTTAAGGAACCATAAATTAATCTCCTATTATGTGAGCCTTCCAATCCATGTTTACTAGTTTCCCTTTCTCATTTTCCCACTTATTTGCTTTTTATTATGTTCCACTTACATGCCTAGAAGATAAAGGGAAAAGAATACATATGGAATTTCACAGCAAATTGATTGTGCTCTGTCTAGTTTTTTTTGGAATCTCTTCCTATTCTAATCAAATTCTTTCTTCGTTAATATAATAAAAAAAGACGAAAATGTAACCAGAAATTATTTAGTGTTTTATCAATAAAATCTATCCACTTGGTAGGATCGACATCCTTTGGTGGGTGGTTTCTTGCATACTCCTCCCTTTAGCCTCTGTAGACACCCCATTTTTGACTGCCCGTAGAGACTCGGGCACTATTGATGGCCTACTTAGTGGTGCAGGTTATGCTATGCAAAGGTTCAATTTCTGCGGCAAAGGGAGAGTCAAGTCCCAACCTCACACCCCATTTTGGACCAAAGCTATTTTGGATAGATTTTAGACCTTAAAATCCTCTCTTTTAAAATATTTTTGAAATAAAGTTCCTACAATGTTCCGAGGCTCACATTTTGTTAAATGTCACGCTTTTCGGTAAACCGAGCAAGGACTAAGTGGAAATGAATGAAAGAGAGATGAAATCTTTGAAAAATATTTCAAAACACCTTACTTAGGGGTTTGGAGTTGAAGAAAAGAAGAGAAGAGGGAAGAAACTAGTTTGGGAGAAGTTCGGCATGAATCTGGGTAGGAGAGAGTCGAGCAGCCCTCGCTGAATCGGGCTTATTCATTTGCATACTTGGATTCTAGCTATAAGGACACCACTGTTGGAAATATTACTTCTGGGGCTTCATTTTTCACTCAAGAATCTCCTAAAGCCAATTCCGGACGGGGGAGATATGATTGGTTGAAGTAGGGCATCACTCCGGTTGGACCGAATCTGCGCGGCTTCACCAAAATAGGCATAACTTTTTGCACAGGCGGAATTTTGATGCAAGGCTGGTTCCATTGGAAAGATAACTTCTGGGGCTTCAATTTAGACACCTGAACGACCACTTTTGGACTTCCCAATCACTGGCCGGCCACCTTTCTTTCTGGTAGACCAATTTTTGTCCTGAAAAACCAGAAAAAGTAGCAGGCCGACCAGAAAAGGTGGTTGGCCGACCACCTGAACCCTTTGAACTGGTCGGCCGACCAGGAAAAGTGGTCGGCCGACCACCTAAACTGGTCGGCCAGTTTTCTCCTTTTTTGTCTCATTGAGTTGAAGCCAGCTGTGCCAGCTGGAAGCCTCAGAATGCATCCTCCATATGTATGGAGGATGTTTAAGCTTGGTTTTTAGCTTCCTTAAGAAGCTTTAGAGCCTCTCCTCCATAAAGGAGGGGCTGAGCTTCCATTGCAAGGGTTGAATCCTTTGGTTAAGGCATACATACACCCTCCTCCATAACTCTCCATTCCAAGCATCAAAACCCCATTATTCTTGGCCATTTTACACTACACCTCATAGCCTACCACCTCCACCAACCATTCAAGCATCTTGGAGGTCATTTGCAGAGATTGAGGAGTCACATTCTTGGTCCAGAAGTTGCTGAGGGTCGTCTCTACAAGGGTAAGCCCCTATTTCTCCCATTTTTGTATTATTTTGCTCCATAGTTTAGCCTTATTTGCAAGCATTTTTGGACTTCAAAATAAGCTGAAAAAAGTTTTCTTTTGATCTTACAAACATATTTTCTTAAGGTCACTTTTCTGTTTGGGGTCATTCTCCCCCTTGCATGATTGATTTCCTTATGTTTAGGGCCATGCATTAGAGCATTTGCATTGACCTTGGTTTGGCCTCTTAGCCACTGAAATCCAGTGGATTTTCAGTGGCTTAGATGTGTTTTTGAGTCCTAAAATCAGAAAGGGGTGACCCTCTCACCCCTTGTCCTCTTTACTAGCATTGTTGGCCTTCCAAAGGGGCTCTATCTTGCATGTTGTGAAGTCACATTTCAGGCCCTATTTTGTGAGTTTTAAGGTCTACCTTAACTCTGTCCAAAGCCCCTTTGGCCATATTTTAATCTATGATGCATGTGTAGAACAATCCCACTCAAGGCCTTTCAAAGGGTCTTTCATTTGCATGCTTCCTAGGTTGATTTCAGGGCCTTTTTGGTGAGTTTTAGGGCTGTCATAACCTATTTCCAGAGGTGGTTTGGCCATCATTGATGTCCATCATGTATGTGTAGAGTAACCCTCTTATTAGCCTTTCAAAGGAGCCCATCATTTTTGCATGCATTGACTGAGTTTCAGTGGTTATTTAGGCATATTTTGACATGGCATACATCTGTTTTTGGTTGGTTTGGTGAGCCCTCATATTCTTTATATAGTTGTAGAACAACTCATGGTTCACTAGCTTTCTTTGCATGCTTTGTTGGACCTTGATTTTAGCACATTTTGGCCATGTCTTAAACTGATAATGTGCTTATTTTGGACTGCCCTAGCTCTATTTTTAGGTCTTGTGGTCGAATGATGTTAGTTTTGCATGCTTGTAGTTCAAGGTCCATGATTAGCTTTGAGTTTTGAGATCCATTCCATGCATATACTGAGGTGTGTTCATGTTTTGAGCCTATTATTCATCACATTTCAGAGCTTGTTTGAATTCCATGTTGCCATGTTTTCATCTCTTTAAATGCGTTTCAGAGTCGGGCTTGTATACCCCATTTATCGACCATTGAATAAGCTCCATTTCGTTGCATTCCGAGTCATCATTTTAGGTCAATTTCCCACATTTCAGACCTGCCTAGGGTCTTTTGGGGGTTGGTTTTGCCTTTGGTGCATTGCTTTGGGTACCTCTAGTGTAACGCACTTCACTAGTTTCGGTATCCGGGCCCCCTAGCTTACATTGTGTGCCATATTTGCATGTTTCGGGACCATATTTCATGCTGTTTCAGAGCTGTAATTTATGCTATTCCATGTCATGTTTCATCCTTTCCATGCTTTGGTAGAGTGACATTCCATGCCTCAGGTTCGGTCCTTGGTATTTGTGCGTGTGTGCACCCATTTCGGTTGTCTCATTTTCATCTAATGGCCACAGATGTGAGTGTGGCTAAGGTCCACTCATGTTGGTGTAAGTCCATCGTCCATCGTGCATTGTGTATGCTATTTCAATCCATAGCATTGCGTATGCTAGGTTGCATGTTAGAGCATTAACTGAGTATGAATTCATTTTAATATTGAGATGAGTTAGTTGTCGTGTGACTGTTGTAATTACAAAATATATCATTGAACTGTGTCTTTAAAGAGAGGGTGTTCTCATTGGTTAAGAGTCTTGAGATAATCACTTTGGATGGATATTAAGTAAATTATTGCACCAGATTATAAATAAATATAAAAAAAAAAAGAGAAAACTGGTTTTATTGAAGTCAAGGGATGACATCCCCGATTACAAAGGCAACAAAAAAAAAAAGGATCTTGTTTTTTATAACAGCCGCATGCCGACTTCACTTACTCGACTCTCTTGCCGAGCTCTTCCTTTTTTTGTCGCCTTGGGAGACCCTTGAAGGCTCCGCCTCAGTGTGTATAGGACTGGCGAGAGAGTTGACTCCCTGCTGGCTGTCAAAGGCGAAGTACGAAGGTGTTCCAAATCGGGTCATGACAGTGGTCTTTCGTTTCAACTCCTTATTCTCTGCCTTCTGAACATTCAAGCAAATTATATCATTGTTGCACGTCAAAAATTGCACCCCAATCCAATCTGCAAAAAAATAAATTAAAAGCTTTAGTAATTAATCAATTATACAAAAGATTAAAAACATTAGTAACTCATCAATTTACAATTAGATCAATTATATAATTTATCCCTCTAACAGACTTTCTTTTTTCGAGATTATGAGAACAAAAAATTAATTTTAAGGCTAATTCACAAATGATGCATCTCATTAATGTGTCGTAAGTTCATACAACTTATATTGGTCCCTTCTAAGGTGTTTCTATGGGTTCCTGTACAAATTTGTAGTTGTGTGATAATTTAGCATTTCGACGGACTTTTTTGAAGCTTTAAGTATAGAGGAAAAAAATATTTTTTAGACTAATTCACAATTTATACATCCCGTGCACCTGTACAAATTGGATGTCATATGCATGTTTCCATTAGTTTCTAATTCTTCAAACATATATTCTTTTATAAAATTTGTTATATTAAAGTTAATATACTTTACCAAGAAGCATGTCCACTTGTGGATGAGTCCCCTCCACTTCCAAAGTGTCTAGTGAATCCTTTGGTCCTCAAAAAGTTGACAACATCAGCCATTATCTCCCCTTGCTTCTTTTTATCCTCTTCAAGATCTTCTATTTTATTGTTCTGCATTTGTATTTGTTCCTTCTGTGTCTCTATTTGCATCTCAAGGCGCTTCACATAATCATTTGTTTCAGCATATATGGTAATGGTCCTCCTAATAGAGGATGAAGGTCTCATGCCAAGTCCCTTCGCATAGCCAGACCTTGGCTTTAGGACTTTGATTGACAGTTCTTCTGCAGTCAAAGGGGTTGATCCCGGCTGTGAGAGGTGATTAGCCTGTGTCTGTATCATATTTTCCTATCAAATATAAAAAAATTAAATAATTATTAGAAAATTAAATAAGATCATAACAAATAGTATTCTAAAATTTTGTTAATAAAAATTGCAATATATACTCACATAATTACACTGAGCTTGAGATGAGATCCACTCATGTGTTTTCTCATTATAGTGAATTTCCTTGTACAACTCTGCTAGATCAGGTAGCATCTTCTTTTCTCGTGCCTAATTCGATAGGCCAAATATTCAATAAATAAAGCTAAGAATCTAATATAATTCTGAAAGTGCAAGGATACGTACCAGTTTTTCTACTCTAACAGGGATTGACCTAGAACCACATCTATGTTTTGTATACATCCTTTCTCTGTTCGCGATGTTGGCCTTTGATTGTTCCTATAAGGAAGAATGACCAATATAAATGTATCATTAGTAAGACAAATATGTTGGCTTTTGATTGTTCTTGTAAGGAATAATGAACCAATATAACAATGAAATGTATCCCTAGTAAAACAAATTTAATGCTTGATAATAAAGAAATTGCATTGTTCCTCTCTATCATTTTCCTATATATCATTTCAACTTAAAAGATATTTCAAATTATTCACTAGTTTCATTCAATTCTTTGAAAAATGGATTAGAGTACTTGTTGAGATTTCATCATAAGATGGTTTTTCTGGGTGAAAAAAGAAAAATGAGTAATTTACACCGTTCACAAATAGGGGGCATATAAGCATGGGCAAAATAGATTGTGAAAATATCCATTTACATTTCACATGATATGGAACAATTACTGATACCAAACTTATAACCCTTTCTTTCTTCCACAACTCTATCAAATATAAAGTTCTGTCTCAATACCCTGTATTAGTTACTTAGCTAGTTGCTTACCATTATCATGATTATTCAGACCAAACACAAGAACAAATAGAAAATACAATCATAGAAATTGAAATCTTAGTTCTTTATTCTATGATGTGAAAGATGCACTTTAAGGAACCATAAATTAATCTCCTATTATGTGAGTCTTCCAATCCATGTTTAATAGTTTCCCTTTCTCATTTTCCCACTTATTTGGTTTTTATTATGTTGCACTTACATGCCTAGAAGATAAAGGGAAAAGAAGACATGGAATTTCATAGCAAATTGATTGTGTTCTTTCTAGTTTTTTTAAAATCTCTCCCTATTCTAATCAAATTCTTTCTTCGCTAATATAATAAAAAAGATGAAAATGTTACCAGAAATTCTTTAGTGTTCCACTTTTTATCAATAAGATCTATCCACTTGGTAGGATCGACATTCTTCGGTGGGTGGTTTCTTGCGTACTCCTCCCCTTTAGCCTCCTTCAGCTCCATGAATTGTTTGTGCAGCCTATAGGTATGGTTACTCAATCTCCGACCAAATTTTGTGTTCATTGCCTTCTCTATATCAACAGGGTCTCCTTGTAAATCAAATTGATCCTGCAAAAAATAGATAAGTCATAGATAATTCTTATAAAAAATAAAATAATTACAATAAATAATTAAGATTTCTAACCTATTATAAAAATGAGTAAAATCTCCTATAAGTAGACAACGAACTTACATTCAAGCATTGAAACATCGCCTCCTTAACGGAGGCATCAACATACTTCCACCTACGAACACTTGGATTTGGTAAACGAGTTCGCACTTCTACACCAATCTTTGAGGCTAGTTTTGAGGCATAGTCCCCTACCGGTGCACGAAATTCTGGAGGGATAGGCACGCTAAGCTTTCCATCTTTATCAACAAGGCCTTGAACCTCTTTGCCTCGAGTCGGGCCACGAGCACGCTTAGCAGCTGATATTGTGAAGCCATAATATTGAAATAGTATGTGAACAAATTTAATTAAGATCTCAAATCAATGTAAATAAAGAGTGTGTCTTACCAATAGTATTACCAGCAATCACCTCAAGTTGAGGCTCCACATTGAGAGGTGGTGGCGGATGGCTAGCCACCTCAGGACGTGAAGAGGTATCCCCCTCTTCTGATGCGTGGGTTAATGCCTCAAGTTTTTTAAATTTGTTTATGTCATAAAACACATCATGTGTACTATTAACTTATTCCATTAGGAATGCACAATGTGTATCATACAAAGAAAATCATATGACGTCGTCTATCTCTAATCTTTCCTTAGTTCTCCAAGTATAAAACATAGATTGAGATGGAACATATTTAAGTAGTAAAGTTGTAAAGTACAATGTAGACTACTGTATTTTCAAATTGTTTGAATTTGACCAAAACAGAGCAGATTATGAACCAGACATCCCAACAGATTATGTACCAGACCACTGAGAGCAGCTGCTGCTGTCCATGGACAAAATTGTTCATCTAGAATTATATTCAGATTAAATAAAAATACCATATTAAATTTTCTTCTTACCTTTTTTATTTAAATACTTTTATTTTTTTAAGAAATTTGTTTTTATTCTCTTTAATATTTTATTGTAATTTTTAAACTAAAAAGAATTTCTAAAAAATCATATCTAAATTATTCATGCCATTATAAAAAGTAAATTTTTTTAATATCAACTTAGTGATAGTTTGGGAAGTGCTAAATAAATATAGTTTTTACTTTTTATGAAAATATGTATCGAAAAGTAGAGTTGTGATGTGACCCAAAAAACATAATTAAGTATACTTTTTACTTTTTTCGAAAATAAATAATTTTTACAATTAAGCTCGACTCAAGTTGCTTAGGTTCAGCTCACCTAAGTTTACAATTTTAGCAAGAAGGGTTGAAAGTTATATGATTGCGACAAATTAAATAATAATAAATAAATTGTGATAAAATTGTAGGACTTCAATTGTAAATTTCAATTTTCTTTGTTTTCATAATTTGCATACAAAAATTTAACTATTTGTATTATTTTATATAAAAAATATATTATTAATTTTTTTACATGTCGTGCATAGCACGGGTTACCACTAATATATATTTATGTATACAAATACACATACACGCAAGATAGAATATCCTGATAAATAATTCATCAAAGACGATCAAAACAGGTGGTCAGAAACTAGTTGGAATTAAATAATGATAAAAAAAACCTCATTACAAAATAATAATAAAAAACACCCAAGCATGAGTCTTGCACACGAAACCAGAAACCAACAGCATTGCATAAAATAGCCTAGAAATTTTTCCATCATCGAAGAAAACAAGAGAGAAAGTGAGAGAAAATGGAAGTAGCAACAAAACCTGATTCGTTCAATCAGGTGGAGATGTCAGACTCGGAACCTACAAACAGATGACATATATTGAAAGGGAAAAGAAAAGGATTAATGAGAAAATTGAACTTTGATGAGAAACAAATAGAAAATGTATAAGAAAATGGGGGAAAGGAAGAAAGGAAAATTGAATCTATCTACCTCTACAAAAACGGCTGGTGGAGAGAGAAAACCCTAGAACGAAAAATAAAAAGCAGGAACGGAACCTACAAACAGATGACATATATTGAAAGGGAAAAGAAAAGGATTAATGAGAAAATTGAACTTTGACGAGAAACAAACAGAAAATGTATAAGAAAATGGGGGAAAGGAAGAAAGGAAAATTGAATCTATCTACCTCTACAAAAACGGCTGGGGGAGAGAGAAAACCCTAGAACGAAAAATAAAAAGCAGGAAAGTAGAGAGACAAAGGAAGAAGGATTTTGAGTGCGAAAAGTTTGGGTATTTTCAGAGTTTGATAGGAAAAAATACGTGCCAAACAAGGCATGTAATAGAGTCGGTTGTTGAATTCGAAAAGTTGGGGTATTTGTTGGACATCTAAATGGTAAAAAAATAAAAAACTAACTAAAATATGAAAAAAAAAATCAACAAAGACAAACGAAAATCTGTTTAAAGACAAACTAAAATATTTGTTTTAGATATGAGGGTAAGGCTTATGAGGTTTCTCATTAAAAACCCCATTAAAGATGGTTTTTCATGATGATGTTTCGATGGTGGAAATAAAATAAACAAAAGATGGAATATAGATTATGATGATTTGGGGGAGCTCACAGATGGGCATTGATCAAAAGGAAATTGAGTGGTTGATAGAAAGAATCTCTAAAAGAAAAGGAGATAGTCATAATAATTAATAAATAAATAAATAAAAAGGTTAGAAATAATTCAAAAAGTTTATTATTTCTCTAAATCTAAAAATGAAGTTGATAAGGCCCTACATGCCCAAATCATAACTAAAAAAAAAAAGCAGTGAAGCTACATGTAATTTTTTATTCCTTCTATATTTGTAATGAAACACACATCCTAGAATGTTTTAGATAAAATTACATTTTTTATTTTTTTTTTTTTTGGGTTTGGCCTCAAAATAATAATGTGTGCTAAAAGTCTAATTAACCTATATGAAGATTAACATTTCCTCTCTATAATGTTAATTATATTTAAGAGTTAGTAGGATGATGTATGATGCGCAATGACGTCTTATCTTGCCCAAAAAAGGGATAGAAGTAAATCGATTAAAAATATTATAAACTAAAAATTATGTTAGAAAAATTTCATTTGTAAAAATTTAGTAATTTTGCATCTTGAAAAGTAACAAAAGTTATATTTAAATAAAAAAATTAAATAATAATTATTTAAATGTGAAAGACCTTCGTTTGAGATTTTGCTTGGGTCCCAAAAATAATTCATTGAATTGTGTCTTTAAAGGGAGGGTGTTCTCATTGGTTAAGAGTCTTGAGATAATCACTTTGGATGGATATTAAGTAAATTATTGCACTAGATTATAAAAAAAAAGAAGAGAAAACTGATTTTATTGAAGTCAGGGATGATATACCGATTACATAGGCAAAAAAAAAAGAAAAGGGGAGAGGGATCTTGTTTTTGATAACTGTCACATGCCGACTTCACTTACTTGAGTCTCTCGCCGAGCTCTTCCTTTTTTTGTCGCCTTGGGAGACCTTTGAAGGCTCCGCCTCAGTGTGTACAAGACCGCCGAGAGAGTTGACTCCCTGCTGGTTGTTAAAGGTGAAGTACGAAGGTGCTCCGAATCGAGTCATGACGGTAGTCTTTCGTTTCAACTCCTTATTCTTCACCTTCAGGGCACAAATCTCTGCTCGCACATCTTTGTACATGCACTGGAGCAGAGAAAGTTGGGAATTTAACTGTTGTACTTCACTGGTTCTATTCTGCAACCGGTGAGATAATTTGGTAACCGCGGTCTCAATGTCAGATTGAGCAGCCATGATTTGCTTAACTGACATCATGGGAAAGTTAAGAAGAGTGGTAGTAGGGACACTCGGTCCAAGAAGGTTAGGAAGAGTAGGAGCAGAGGCACTCGGTCCATCGCACATCTTTGTACATGCGCTGGAGCAGAGAAAGTTGGGAATTTAACTGTTGTACTTCACTGGTTCTATTCTGCAACCGGTGAGATAATTTGGTAACCGCGGTCACTGTTTCCATGCAAGATCTCAGTGTGAAGTGGTTGGCCTCAATGTCAAATTGAGCAGCGATGATTTGCTTAACTGACATCATGGGAAAGTTAAGAAGAGTGGTAGTAGGGACACTCGGTCCAAGAAGGTTAGGAAGAGTAGGAGCAGAGGCACTCGGTCCAGGAAGGTTAGGAAGAGTAGGGACAGGGACACTCAGTCCAGGAGAGCTTGGATCATTGAGGCCCAGAAAGAGAGTGAGAGGACGAGACGAGGCCATGTGTAGTGAGAGATGTAAAGAGAAAGAAAGGAGAGTCAGAGAAATAGCAGAGAATAGACTGAATTTGGGGACAACTTTTCTCCTCTGTTCAGTCTCTCTTTTTCTCTCGATGAGGAAGAAGAAACAGAAGCAAAATGATGAAGAAGAAGAAGATGGAAGAGAATGATGAAAAAGAAGGAAAAATGAGTGAATAAGTAGAAGAGGGAAGATACTGATTCAGAAGAATGCAGAAAGAGAAGAATACAAAAGGAGAGAGAGCCGAGGCGAGCTTACAAATCGAGGTCTGCTTTTGTCGGCCAACTGACTTAAAAGTAAGGCCGCGTGTCAGACGCAGTTTTCAAAGGAAGAGAGAGAAGCGGCAAAGTTGTATACATATATGTATCTATATTGTATATTTACGCATTATATACATTTATTCAACTACATCTGGTCACAAGAGTGACTTGAGTTTAGTGGTTTGCCTCAGTGGTTGAGGGATTCGTGTTTTATTTCCTTTTTGCGTGTTTTGCTTACGCGCGATGACGTCAGCTACTGAATATTCCGTCGTAGTTAAGATTTGTGTCGGAAAAAATAGAAGAGAATTCCCTTGTTTAGTTTTGATTCATTTTTTGAAAATTGATTTTTTTGCTTTTTGTGATTTTTTTATTTTCAATGAATTTTTTAATATTTTAAATAAGCTTTTAACTTTTTAAATGGATGTAATGTGTCTAAATAGTAAAATATTTATGAAAATATTAAAAAATTATATAAATACACAATAATACTTGTATTTCTGTGTTTGATGATTTTTTTCATAAATATTTTATACTGTATCTAGGTTCATCTAAAAAAATAAAAAAATTCTTAAAATATTGAAATTTTTGACTAGAAAAAAAAATATAGAAATAAAAAAAAAAACTCAATTTTCTGAAACCAAAGGTGAATTTTTGTTGTTTTTTCGCTTCATACACGACCTTATGTTTGTTCTCCTTGGAATATGTCTTATCTGAATTTGGGTATGTTTTGCCGCAAATGTTACTATTTTTGTCAACAGAGCTAATCTTGTCTTAGTCGTCTTCTTCTTCATCTTTATATATACATATTAAAATTTTTTAAGTGTGTGTTTTATCTTATGGGACATTGCTCCTTTTTTGGCACCGACCTAAGAGTAGCTAGCTTGTTGATGTGTTACTTGGATGTTCATTACATGACTTGTAAATATTGAAATAATATATAGGTAATTCCATCTCAGAAAGCTGGATCACCAAGGAATCAGAGATAAGATCAGATCTGTACTTCAAACTTTATCATTTAATTGCCTTCCAACTCTGGCTTAATTTTGGGCGCCTGTAACAATTCAGAACAGGTGTTTTCTAACAACTCAAGACCAACCTTTTTGTCTGCCTTCCAACTCTGGCTCAATTTTGTGCGCCTGTAATAATTCAGAACAGGTGTTTTCTAACAACTCAAGACCAACCTTTTTGTCTTTTCATTATTGATAAAGGACTTTGTTCGCATAGAATGATCTCTATGGAGTATAAATTCTACGTGGATGGAGATAGTGAAGAAGAACTCCGGCTTCCTGGTCGTGTGTTTCGGTATAAACTCCTTGAATCAACTCCTGATGTGCGGTATTACCCTACCGAAGAACACCCACAGGGCAGTCATGTTGTACATTGCAATGTCACGCAATCGTTGGCTTTACCCGTGTTCGATCCTTCTAGCCAGAGCTGTGTTGGTGTACTTGAGCTAGTAACTCTAACGCATGATGCTGATGAACTTCTCATTAAGATGGAAGATCAAATCTCTGAGGCTCCGTAAAATCGTTGTGTCTCTTTGTCTTGATTGTTTGATTGGGATTGTTATATTCTGCTTAAAATTGATACATAATCATAAATCAACATCTAGGGGATTTCTAGATTTTTCAATAGTTAATTCAAAGTTCACAGGAGTCAGCTAAGGATGGTGGAGGTGGTAGTTTGTGTGGATGGATTGTTAGGAAGGATGTGATGTTTGGTTGTGAGCTAAGAAGCATATACATTTTGTGAGAAGGTTGTCAGACACGGACGCCAACACGACACAACTCAACACTCTTCGGACGCTCCCATTAGGGAAGGTCTGTGTAATTATCCCTTTATTTCAAATGTTTTTAGTTTTTCCTGTTTTCAACTACTAGAATTCGACCTGATTTCAAGTGTGGCCTGTTTTTGATACCACTAGTCCACAAAGGCTTTTGGGGTCTTATTGGCTCCTACCACGATGGAGTCTTATTGGGTGAAGTCATAACAAAGGTAGCTGTAGGGGAACTTGTGGCTGGATTGAATCCTTCATGATGGAAATGGCCTCTTCCCCCCTAAAAACATAAAAAATTAAAATACGGGTATAACCAAGATACGTTTGTTAAATGAAAAAAATTATTTGAAGTATTGTATTATATGTAATGTAAGCTCAAAGAATAATTTCATAATTTTTTAGGAATTATGTATTAATTTAAGAGCATATAGTCAACTTATTTTTTGATTTTGGTCCTATAAAAATTTATTTAACTATCAATTCTAAAATGTTTACATTCTATGCTTTTTCTCATTCAAACTTAAAAGTGTTGTACTTAATTTTATTTAATTGTTGAAATTCAATTTTTTATTGGGAATATTTTTCATTTAGAAGCTTTCAAGATTCCTTAGTGAAATTATTTTCATTTCCCCTGCAGAAGGTGGAACTGGAATATTCAGATCCATATTTTCATGGTGACATCCTTGTAAGTGCCAAACTGCTACCTTAAATGTCAAGTTTGATATATACATATTTTTTTCTTAATTAATGTTGCTAGGAACTTTATACTCACAAATATCTATTGGTGACAATACTGTTAAAACCAGACCAACAGCAAGAATGATGCTTTTCAATATGCGCTGAATGAAATCAGGGATGTGTTGAAGGTGGTGTGTCAAGTTCATTGTTTACGTTTAGCTCAAACATGGGTCCCGGGCTGGTTTTGCAGCAATGGGATCCATGGTGGTACCTTTGATGTGAGCAGCGAAGGACGAGCCTTGTGCACAATTAAGACAGCGTCCTATTTAGCAGGGGAAGGGGAGTGGCCCTATGGAGAGGATTATACTTTCTTGGATGCCTGTCAATCTCATCACCTACAAAAGGGGCAAGGGGTTGTTGGGAGGGTGCTTTCATCTCATAAATTGTTATTCTGCTCAGATATAACAAGATTCAGCATAGCCGACTATCCCCTAGCACATTATGCATGCAAGTTTGGATTGACCGGTTGTTTTGCAATTTGCATCAACAAAGGCCATGGAGACCTGCAGACCTCATTGAGCATGATATTGGGAACAATGATGCAATTATTGAAAGGTTTTAAGCTTGCTACTGGAGAAAAACTGAGACAAGATTTATCTATTGAAGCTATTGATTTTTGCAATGATGAGAAACTTGATTCTATGCAGACACCCCAAACTAATAGATATTCCACTACGCTCCCCTCACAAAATATAAGAGAGATGACCAGCTGGATTCATCAAATCAGGAATCTATGGATGCCATAAACAATGGAAGGAATGATGTTAGTGCGGAGCAAAGCAACATACATGGTACTGATGTACAGAAGAAAAGCAAAACAAAAACGTAGGAGAGGGAACACAGAAAAGGTGGAATTCCAATTAGTTTGGAGGATCTCCAACGTCATTCTGGAATGAAAGTTGAAGATGCTGCGAATAGCCTTGGCAGTAAGTTTACACACTCAAAAAAATATATTATTGTTTGTGATCTTGCTCATTTTATTATCAATTAACTTGCTAGACTCCTATGTAGAGAGATTTTTGTTTGGCTGTAGCCTGTAGGTAACAGACAGTAGTGTTTCTAATCCAGAATTTTTTTTCTCCTTCCTGTTTTGTAGTTAGTCGATCTACATTTATGCGTGTCTGTAGAAAATATGGTATCGGCAGGTGGCCACCTCGCAAGGGACTCAGGAATAATCATTCCCCCTCTGATAAAACTGTCCGAGGTGTTGATCAAGAAAAAATTTCAGAATGCAGTTAGAGAGACAGTCCGAGTTCTAATCAAGCCGTGCCTACTGTTGGTCGAACAAAGCAACATATTAAGGCAACCTAAGATGCATGTAATGTGACAGTAAAGGCAAAATATCTCGAAAAAGCAATAAAGTTTCAGCTCTCTTCATCATCAGGAATTAAAGAGTTGCAGCAGCAAGTGGCAAAGAGGCTGAGCCTGAAGGCCGGAACTTACATTATCCGGTATAAAGACGATGAGGATGATTCAGTTTTAATATGCTGTGATGACGACCTGCATGATTATATGCGTCTTCAAGTTCGCTTGGAAGTACTTTGATCACAATTTGGCTTCAGCCCATCTGAACATTTTGAATCATTGCTGATTATGCATTTATCCTTTAACTAGGTTGTTAGGTTTTATTTCTTGGCAATCCCGTTTGACAAAACTCCTTTCAGTTGTATTTATTTTCGCACTTTTATGTCAGTGAGGCTATGAGTGTTTAGATGCGAATCCAACCCGAATTGTGCTTTTTCAGAGAAGTTTGTGATGATAAAGCTCCACAGATTGCCACTTCGCTGATTTTGACGGGGATCGAGCTGCCCGGTCAGCTCGCGGGGGTCCAGGAGGCAGTGCCCCTTGGCGGGTCCGGGGCAGCGCCACGGCGGGGTCGAGGGGCAGCGCCCCCGAAGCAAAATGCAAAAATGCATTCACAACTGCCTGTCCGCTCGAGCGGACATACCCGCGCTCGAGCGGAGAATTCTGGTTCCAGCAGTTTTGGTCGCCTGCAAAAGTACTGAGCTGTGTGATTTCGCGCTCGAGCGGGATTTCTGGCGCTCGAGCGGATCTCTGTGATATTTCGCGCATATTTTGCTGAAGCCCGCTCGAGCGGGCTGTTGGGCGCTCGAGCGGAGATCGCGGGACAGATTCTATAAATTCGCGTATTGGGTCAGATTTTTAGGATAACTGCTCCAGATCTTCTTTTTGGTTTCTAGGGTTTATATCTGGGGATACTTTGGGAGTTTTCTTTGATGTTTTTATTGAGTATTCAACTCATGATCTAAAGAGAGTACATCAAAGGTTTGTTTGTTATACACAAAAGAGAGAGTTATTCTTCAGTTGTGGATTCTGAAGAATTCGAGCCTGAAGCTTTGCCTACGGGCTTACATCTTTCCAAGCCAACACTTGGTTACAACAAAAGAAGAGTCTAGTCTCTATACAAGTAAAGCCCTCGGCTTAAAAATAAAACATCCAACACAAAATGAAATAGCAAAAATGGAGCCTTCAACCCCTAAACCTCTTAAGCTATGCCCTTGGAGGCGGCATGTCACTGGTACCTAAAAATGGTGTCCCAAGTAGGGTGAGCCAAAACCCAGTAGAGATATGCTACACAATATATGAAAATTAACTAAGGCATAAGTATCAGATAAATGTAAGATATTCCTCAACCGACACATATTATTTAGATCGGAATTCAATTTACATAACCATATCTCAATTCATTTCCAATCATCCATTTTGGGTAAACCTATTTACCAAATTCATAATCATCAAAACAACCAAAATGAGATTTCAACTCAATGGTTCACAATTCAATGCATTCATCAATCCAA